ATCGCACTTACTCTAAAATCTCGTTGTACTCGATGCTCTCCTCCAGGTTCTGTAGGTTGGGGTTAGCGCTGCGGATGGCTCTCATGTACGCCTTCAGCAGCTGAATGTCTCGTTTCTGGGCACGAAAAAGGAAAAAGAAAAGATTCAGCTTCAGACTTAGGCGAAAGACAGACAATATATGTTTCACATATATTTATAACCCAATGTGTCAACAGCACAAATATATTAATATTGGATACTGATATATGCAGCCATCTTTCCAGCATATTTGGCCAAACTCAGGGATAGTGTTATCGGGTTTTCATTATCGGACAAAAAAAAACAATAACGATCCTTACCGTTATATCACTTAAATATGCTAATATCAGGGAGGATCATTGAATTTTCAAAGAAAACATCTTTTAGATTTTACTCTGGAATTGACTTTTGAAAGCAGAGTCTGGATGACCTTTGACCTGTTGTTTTGAAACACTGACAGATTATCTTTGAATGAAAAGAGTAAAAGGTTATGACTGGATTCTTTTAGAATTATGTCAATTAGTAAAAACTGAAGCACATTTTTTCACTAAGTACCAATGTGGCCTGGTACCAAATGACCTACAAACCGGTCCCCGGACCAGGGGTTGGTGACCCCTATCTTAAGATGTACATTATAAAATATAGAACATAAAAATAAAAAACAGTTTTATTATGAAGTAAAAATAAAACGTCTCCTCACTTGTTCTCCCAACTGGTGTTTATGTTCGGCCACAGTTTTCTCCAGGTCGGAGACCTTGGTCTGCTGCTGCTGGACAACACTCCTCAGGTGTTTGATGCAGTTGTGGTTGGGCAGCTCGTCCTTGGGCATCTCCAGCCTGAGACGAGGAGCAGATGATTAAACACCCGCCCCAGAGAGAGAGACACACAGAGGTGTGATCATGCAGAGGGAACAGTTTGACCACTGACCCACATCCCTCCTCACAGTTGACCGGCCGTTTGGGGTTGTGCTCACAGTCCTTCAGGTGCGACTGCAGCTGGTCCAGTCGCAGCGTGGCCGTGCAGCCGAAGCTGGCGTTGTCGCAGCTGATTTGGAGTTTGGACAGCATGTTGCGCATGATGCGGGGCACGGGTCTGAGGTGGGCCAACGTCACCACCGTCCGGTCAACGGGGCAAATCTGCTGCTGGGCAAACCACTGCGTTATACAGGCATTGCAGAAAGCATGCTCGCAGTGGGGGGCCTGGAGGACGAGTGGAGGGTAGAGGGAAATATATATGAAAATATATATTTTCACATATAAAAAAAACAAACAAAAACCCCCACAAAGACCAAATAAAACCCTGGCCCGACTTGCCTGTACCGGTTCTTCTAACACTCCACTACATATAGGGCACAGCAGGTCCTCATCCACCTCCCCTTGAAACCTCGTAACGTCGTACCCCATAGTACATCACTGGGAGCCACAGCCTCCTGTTGAGCACACGGTACCAACAGAACGCAGTTTACACGACAACTGTGATGTTGGCTTGACTTTAATGGCAAAAAAAAAAAAAAAACTCCCAAAGTCATTGACCTATAATGATCATTTTAATATATACATATAACCATATGAGTGAAATATACACACACACACACATACTGTATATACATATATACACATATATACACATATATATATAAACACGTATATATACACATACATACATACACACACATACATGTATATATATAAAATGAGGACGGGAAAGTGTTATCAAAAACGTTTTAAGAGCTCGACATAGAAGAGAGTAAAGTCGTCAGCGGACGATAACATTTTTATGGTTCCAGAACTTTTCCTACACTGGTGAACGACTTGACTCAGGTGGGAATTCTATTTAGAAATGAATGTCATTAAAGGTCAGCACGAGATGGTGAGCATCAGATTAAAACTGTGTGACAAAGTGAAATAATGGTAAAAAAATAACCTCCTCTTCCTCCTCACTTGTGGATCTGGATGAGTTCCAGACTGATGAGTGTTCTGTCCTGATTGAATCACTCACAGAGTTCACCGATAACACACACACACACACACACAGTCAGTGAACCTACCTCAGTCACAAAAGACCTTTAAAGTTTCCATTCAGCTCCTCACGTCCTGCGGATGCATCACATCTGTCCGAATTATCTTCTCTGGGAATCGAATCACACCCTGAAACAACACAGTGACAACACACACCACTGGTCACCAGGACGGAGGTTCGATTTCAAACCATGTGATCTAATCCCGGATCATAAAAAGACACGAGAGGGAGCGGAGAAGAATAACCTTTACATTATCACCGACCGATTACAACATTTACGTGTGACGTAGGAGGACACTGTCTGTCTGTCTGAACAGGATTCAGTTTTATTAAAAAATTAAATATTTGTCTCATAAAAGCTGTGATGAACAGATGCAGATATCTGAGCAGACATCGGTACCGTACACGAACCGGGATGCGACGTCCTTCTAACCCTACCTACCATGGTGGGTTTTTTGGGTGCTGTTATAATTCTATACATAAAAAAATAAATAAAAATAAACTCCAGGTACCGTTTGTACCGAACAGAGAACTGACCTAATTTCAGTGTCGGCAGCAAACGGCGACCGATTCCCTCTCATCGTTCTCAGCGTGCCCTGCACAGCCGCTAACCCTCCATGATGATGAAGGTACAGCACCGTCCGGGATCCGTGGTTTTACTGTGGTCACGACGCGGTCACATTATCGCTCATTTTCTTGATAAAATCACGCGTGTGACATTTCACACAAGCGCCGATGATTCTCGTCACGGCAGCCTGCGTGTCATTAATTAAACGCGACCGCCTCAGCTCTGCTAGCCTCTGAAAGAACCGTTGATTTTCACTGGATGTTAGCCTCGGAGCTAACCAGACGTAGCTCAGTCTGGCTCTGCGAAACAGACGAACCGCGGTTTAAAATCAGTCGGGCTAAAACAACGTGAACGTCAACGTAGGATATACTCACTCGGACTCGCAGTGAAACCGAATTTTTATGCCAAAGCGGTTGTATTTTCAGACGTCCCACTGTAACAGGTAGCCCCGCTAGCCACGTACTGTGCTACATCCTACGCTTCTACGTCGTCCTCGCGCAGGCGCAGTCTGACACGACGTACAGGACAAGCTTTTAAATGTTCTGTGTTCACCCAGCAACACCAGAGTTAACTGATAACCGTGGTTGAATTGTGTTCTGATTAAAAAAACAAAACAAAACAGATTTTTACCTAAATATAAGAATAAACAATAATTTAATATCTTCTTTGTTTCCTCCTCCTCTTTTCTTCCTTCTTCTTCTACTTATTTTTGTCTTCCATACCAACCATGTCCATGTCCTCTTTCACTACATCCCATAATCCTATTCCCGGCCTTCCTGTTCTTCTCCTGTCTGGCAGATCCATCACCAGTGTCCTTCATCTACTGGTTCAAACATATTTTTTTTCCTGGTTTCATGTCCAAACCATGTCCTCCACACTGCTCGTCCTTAGCTTCCCTGTGACATGTCCATGTGTAACTTTGTCAACTCAGGCCCCGCCTCCTGTCATTGGACAGAGACACTGCCGTCCAACGCATCACAGCAGGTCTCACGACTGTCTAAAGGCCGTCCTCTTTAATCTCCATCCAGTCAACGCTACCTTTTTCTCAGCTTCTATTCCACACGATTACCCTGTAGGGTAAGACCAAAGGAACTTGTCTTTCATGTCTTGAACCGCCCTCACCTATTCTTCTGCCACTGCGGGCACCGCCGACTGCAAGTATGTGGTGCACCAGCAGCATTTTAGTTATGTTCTAAGATTAATCTGCTAACACCTTTAGCCTTGCTTTCTTTTTGTGCCTTAGCACTAAAACCTGTAAGTTACAATACTGCCACCTACTGGGTATATTTCAGACTGATATTACTTTAATTTAAAGGATGTCGTGAGTGATATTCGTACGACTCTCGAACAAAAGGGAATACATTTTAAGTGATTCAAAAGTTGTTTTTTTCTTCAGTTTTCTAATAAATCGGACCAATGTTAAAAACCCAGGCTACAAGAAGTTAAAGTTGCTCCACCATAATCTTAGATTAGTTATCTAATCACATGTTCGAGTTAATAACCTACTGCTGTTACCATGACCTGATCACACACTACAGCCGAGTCAAAGGACGGATTTTTACGGAGCCTTTTTTATTATTATTTCGAGTTATAAAACAATAAAAACAAGTGGGCACAAAACCGAAGAAGCAGGTGGCGCTAGGGTCACAGAGAGGTTGGCGGAACACAAGTTCTTTTTTTTTCTGCTTGAGTTTTATAACATTGAATAGAGTTGAGGTAATTTGTTTAAACATATCAAAGGGGAAAAAACATGCATTCTGAAAGTGAGTGGCATTCACCTTTAATTCTACAATTTCTTTTCTTTTTCTTTTTTTTTTTTCATACAGAAAACGCCACAAAAGTCAGTTGCAGTTACACGTCGTCACTCTCGTTTTAGAAACTAGCTAACACACCGTTACGCGAGACAACTCTTCGGTCAGATATGTGCTTGTTTTAGGAAATAACTGTTGAAAGTCGATCCAGAAATACCAAGAGTGGGTGCGTGTGTGTCCAGTGGGCGGGGGGCAAGGGGGGTGACCACTGTCCAGGGCTTTTAGTGAACTCATAATGGGCTCCTCTTCCTCAGTCACACTCACTTGTCTTACCTCAGATGTTCGTGGCGTCTCAGAGAACTTTGTTTTTTTTTCTTTTCATTTTGTAGCCCTTTAACAACAAGGAAGTACTGGACACAAACTGGAGTTCCCTGATCTGGTCATGCTGTCCTCGGCTCAGTGTGTGGACAAATAAAGGGATTCAGCTTCAAAAAGAACACAACAGTGAATGATCACATGTAACACACACACACACACACACACTTCCTGAATGACAGATTTGACTTCTTATTCCCACATCCTGGAAATTCTGGAAATTTCAGTGGCGAGAAGAAGATTGTACACCGTCTATAAAACACACACCGTGTGTGTGTGTGTATAATGCCAATGAGATTACGTAATATTAACCACCAGTTAATATTACAACGGCGCAGTAAAAAGACAGCAGTGATGAGCAGGACATGTAGCAAAGAGATGTTTAATGATTTCTTTGAACAATGAAATGCACATGTCCATTGTTGATGTAATACAAATAAGATAAGAGGAAAAAAAAGAAGAAGAACAACACGCGGCTGTGTCTGCTACACCAGCTCAGATGACGCTCCTGAAGAAGGAAGGTCAACATGGAGCAAGACAAGATGTCTGGAGTGCCATGCAAGGACTGACCAGTAGGGGGGGAGAGCCAGCTCTTTAGTGAGGAAAAACTACAGTAGTAGTTCGTTAAGAGAAACAGGTTTTTATAGTCTGATAGAAATGATGAATGAAACTGTTTCCAGTTCAGAGAGTTCTGGTTCTGGTTCTGGTTCTTGTCCAGACGGAAGCGAAGAAACCGATGAAGAAGTTAGTAGTAGCTGATAGATGCAGACACAGACGCTCCGTCTGATGAACAGGTTAAATAATCACTTTAAATAAAAACGGTACCAAATGATACTGAAATGTTGATGATCGCTGTTGTTGGCACCAAACAAACTCCTCCGAGCACCGAGAATGTTCATGATTACAGGAGTCCAGACTTGTTTAGGTCGACCTTGTTCCCTAACAAAGTCACATGGCGTTGAAATTTAAATAAGAAATGTACCACACATATCCTCTCGCAAGACAAAAAAAAATTAAAAATTAAAAATCATAGGTTGGGGAGGGGGGGGTTCGAGCTGCTAGAAAGGAGCGTGAAAAGGACCAGTGATTGGTCGGTACGTCCCTGAACCAGACCTTGGGTGAACTTACTTTTTTTTTTTTTTTAGTTTACGCGACGCCTCATTGGCCTTAAAATTGAAACGCGCGGCCACTTCCTTCAAGGGTTGTAGAATGTACAATAAATAATCAATCAATAGTGGTTTGACCTGAGAGTTTTGACCCAGGACTCTGGTTCAGAGACGACGCGACTGTCCTTCGTGCTGGGAAAACCTTATCGTGAAAGTCTGGATTCGGCTCGATCAAAGTGACTTCCTGCAGTGCCTGCTCTGACATATTATTATTATTATTGCTATGTT